TTATTCTTGATTTACCAGTGAGCCCAGTGCAGAGAAAGTTAATACAAGGAGTAAATATGATCCCCTTTCTTAGTTCCTTGGTAAATACACGTGCTGCAGCATTCTGAATCACCTGGAGGAGCCTTAAGAGATTTACAAGAGCAGCCTGATAACAAAGAATTTACAGTAGTCCCAGTCTGGAAGTGACAAACGCATGAACTAATTTTTCTGCATCACTTTGAGACAGGAAGTTCCTGATTTTTGATATGTTACGTAGATGAAAATAGGCAGTCCTTGAAGTCTTCTTTATATGCGAGTTGAAGGTCATATCCTGGTCGAAGAGAACTCCCAGATTCCTGACGGTGCTGCTGGGTACCAGAGCAATTCCATACATAAAAACTGTATCACGTGACAGCTGGCTTCGAAGGCGCTCTGGGGCTATCAGGATAACTTTCGTTTTTTTTGAGTTTAGCATTAGGAAGTTGCCGGTCATCCAAGTTTTGAAGACATTCTTGAAGTCTAGCTAGCTGGTCCGTCTCTTCTGGCTTGATCGACAGATACAGTTGAGTATCGTCTGAATAACAATGGAAGTTGATGCGGTGTTTCCTGATAAGATCGCCCAAAGGAACATATAGAGGGTAAATAAAATCGGTCCAAGTACAGAACCTTGTGGGACTCCGTGACCAACATTGGTGGTCCTTGAGGATTCACCTTAATGCTAAATGATCCTTTAATTCTATCTCTGTACATCAGACACCTGGAATAAGTCGTTTTCTTCTGATCAACATTAGAGAACATGATGGGAGGCCCTTTCTGCAGAGCAATCTGTTTAACCTCCCACCTCCCACTATGAAAAGAGACTCAGTCATTTTGCTGTGGCTGCTTCTCACATCAACAACATCGTTACAATGACTCCAGTTCTCATCGCACTCGTAGTGTCGTCGCTGATGCTTCAAGGTAAAACACAAGTTGACATGTTTGAACAGTGTTTAATGGCGTCTAGTGTATTGACTCACATGGTCACACGGGCTGATGCAGAACTACAGTGTTTATGAGGAAGATTTCTCTTTCAATTATAGAAGACCTAAAAATGTGAATGTGTTTTCGATAGTTAAATTAAAATAATGCACCTCGTAAATGACAAAAAAATCTAACTTTTTGATTGAAACGGACATGTTGTATCTCCTTCACACAGGTCACTGCCAGGGTGTGACGCAACACCCTGAAATCAACTGGAGTCTTGCTTCCAAATCGGCAGAGATGAACTGCAGCCACAACAAAGATGCCAGTCACACCCAGATGTACTGGTACAGACAGCGTCCAGGAGAGACCATGACCCTGGTGGTCTACTCAGTTTTTGGCGGACAGCCAGATTACGGGAAGCTCCCTCAGACCAGATATTCAGCCGTTAAAGAAAGTTCTGAGAGCGGCGCTCTTACTGTGAAGGACTTGCAGCTGGAGGACGCCGGCGTGTATTTTTGTGCTGTCAGCAAACACAGTGATGTGAGAGGGAAACGCAACTGAACAAAAACTGGTTGCCAGCACATTTGGGGGGCGTTGCAGGATTGTAAATATTTCATCATCAACAGGTGGAGCTGGAGGGGCAGAGATACACATTCAGCACTAAGATCGAATGTGTCTGCTAGACAGCGGAGGGCATCGAGGGCATCGATTTTTTTTTTAAAAGATATGAAATTGTGTAAGTCATGTTTTCAGGTTTCATGCAGAAATAATCCTGCACACTTTGTTCCTGCTCTGTAGTTGTTTGGTCGACTTTAACACCCAGACAAACTCCTCCAGAACTTCTCAGAAGCATCTGTCCCCAATTGTACACGTTTATTAAAGCAATACAAGACATGATGAGTCTTTTAAAAAACACTTCAATACAACCAGAGAAACGAATGAAGAGCGAGTGAAGAACAGATCTCTGTTATTAGACGACCTAAAGGTCCCTGAGCACAATGCACTTTTTTACGGTGCTGTGAGTTGCAGGCTGACTGCGAATCCCCTGTTTCTATGTCATCCAAAAGCTCTGAACTAACCTTGATCTGCATTCATGGCTTTGAGTCAGAGCCTGAAGAGACCCGAGCCAGCTGCTGTAGGTCTGATGCCATCGTCTCTGCCAGCGACGCTGTTTCATTCTCACTTCCTTTTGTGGAGGAGAGGAATCAGCTTGATCTCCCACGCTTGCAATACAGTTTATTTCATTAACTTAAACTTTCCAAACTCTATGATCAATACTTTGGATTATTTAATGGCTTCGCAGGAACTGCTTTGATTTTGAGGAGGTTGAAATGATATATCTGTGTTGCGTGGAAGGTACAAAGTAGCTTAAATTCAATTGGCTTTTACAAAGGTGAAAAGGCTTCATATAAAATGCACAAGGTATAACTACACTCTCTTTGTCCAGGTGTTTGTGTTGCTCTTGATGTCAATCAACCTTATTGGAGCCTTTATAAAGAGAATATCTCTGTAAATTGGGGAACAGCGGCAAAGGAGGACGCTTTCAGGTACTATTCAAACGAGAGCACAGTGAGGCAGAAACCCCCTCTGAACTTTACAGAAACTCTGCGCCATCTTTTCTTGTCGCCCTCATCGATAAGCCTCCAAATAAATTGCTTCCAGACACCTGCTATTGTGCTTGTGCTTTGGTTTGGTGCCATCATTACCCAGTCACAACTTGACTATCAAAGCATTTTATGTTCTTGACTTTGGAGTAACTCACACCTCATGTCTCTACATGATAATTACAATTCTATTTTTCCTGCCCAGCTCGTCTTCACTTTCTGACCCTGAGACACCCTGAAGACAGCGGACAATATAATGACAGTTACGCCCTCATTTGAAAAACACATGCACAATGATGCAACATTCAGCTGATGCTTTTATCCAAAGTGACTTACATTTTTAACCCATGGCTTTCTACATTTTTGCCCAGGGAGCAATTAGGGTTCCCTTTACTTTGCCCATTGAGAAGTAAAAGTTAAAAAGAAATATTCCTTGAAATATATACCACCATCAATATTTCAGAGAGCTTTGAGAAAAGCGTTTCTCGAAGCATTAAGAATTTTAATGTATTGGTGTGTATATTTTGAACAAAAATGAAAATAAACTGTTTTGATTCATGCCATTGATTAATCTCTTTTGTAGAAATACAGTCCCAATAATAGATTAACATGTGTGAAAACACACACTAACACAATGCTCGTGGCTCCTCCCTCCTCATTGCGAATGTACAATAAAGACTGATCTCACACTAATGCATCTTTCATATTGCCTTTGCATATTTCTGTGTCATTCACAACACCATTGATACCATTTTGTTTCCTCAGAATATTTAAGATGATTGTTACTGTTTTTGTTTCTCTCTCTTTCTTCACAGGTAAGCGATCTAAGACTTTTGTCTTTTCTCATGACCATAACAAAAAACCTTCTGTTCACCTTCCGTTGTTTTTCTCTCTGTACTCCAGACATTGTGATATCATCACTTTTAATCAAACAATCACCAGTGCATGTTTTGATTAAACCTGATCAAGTAAAAGCACATTTTGGCTGTTACCATGGCGACAACAACTACCCCTACATGCTTTGGTACCGGTCGGCAGCGGGAGGCCGGAGGGACATGGAGCTGATCGGACTGCTCCACTATGAAAACGCAAACCTTGAGAAGAACTTTGAGGCCCGTTGCAACATGACGGGCCACTCAAAGGGCCGAGCTGAGCTACTCATCTCCAACGCGAAGCCAGCAGACAGCGCTGTGTACTTCTGTGCAGCGAGTCAGCACAGTGCTACAGACTCCTCTGGCTCGTTCACAAAAAGCCTGTGACCCACAGCGTCAAACGTGCAGCTGCATCGACACTAAACCACTAAACGGCACAGTTGGCTCATCTCAGAGGACGAATCATAAAAGCATTGTGTGCAGACAATTAATAACGTACGAATCAAACAGAAGATGGGCTGAACTGAAATAAAGATCCCATACACAGCTGCTCCATCACGCCAATGAGCCTCTTCCGGGCCGCTCCTGCTCAGCCCTTGTGCACGTCTAGCTCTGAGGTCTTTAACGTTTTTAAGGCCAAGGTCCCCCAAATTTATGGGGAGATGGAGCAGGGAGCCCCTATTTCACGGAGTTTGGTCCACCATCTTAGCACTGTCGCCTCGCAGCAAGAAGGTCCTAGGTTCGACTCTGCCCATTGGCCTTTCTGTGTGGAGTCTGCATGTTATCCCCATGTGTCTGCGTGGGTTCTTTACTGGTGTCATGATCTGACTGGCTTTGGAGGTGTTGTTTTATGGCTGGGAGAGCAGGTTTCCGTGGTTACCTGGGCGGAGTCTAGTGGCTGCCTGCTGTCACAGCTGTCCTTTATTTACCATCGTCAGGAACCCCTCTTAAGGAACAGCAGGAGCACCAGTCTTTGCTAGATCGTTTTGCCTTCCTAGTGGTAACTTGGCCAGCTCTCACCCGAGATCGATTGTCTAAGGAAAGAGTTTTCTGCATTGACCTTTTTTTCCTTCGGTCCCATCCCAGCCTGCTTCCCGGAACCTGACGGATTCCCCGGCTTCCACACTCTCGCCCCCCGCGGCTTGGGGGAACTCCTCCAGCCAGCCGGATCTTTACCTCTCCCTCAAGCGTGAATTCTATCTACCGCTCCTGCCGCCTGGACCCCTGTGCCTCTCTGCCTCTCCAGCATCTTCCCCGGCCACGGATCCCGTACTAAGTCCCTCTGCTGCCAAAAATAAAGTCTTTTTATTTCTCTGAATCCCGCTTTTGAGTCCAACCCTCGTTCTGGCTATCGCCCCATGACACCTGGTACTCCGGCTTCCTCCCGCAGTCCAAAGACATTATCTGGGAATCAGGTTAAATTGCATGTAGGTGCTTGGATGTATGAATGGTTGTTTGTCTCGGTGTAAGCCCTGCGATTGCTGGGCAACCAATCCAGGGTGAATCCCGTCTCTCTCCCGAAGTTGGCTGGAATAGATTCCATCCTCCTCTGCAACCCTGTGTTCAGGATTAGTGGTTTGAAGATGAATGGACGATTTATGTTCATTAAGTCTTATTACTACCATTTTATTTAGGAGAGACTCGTCCAAATTGACAAAGATTTATTTCACATGTACATGTATTACATTGTGCACAATCTTTGGCGATTGGACCAAGGATGAGTGAAGAATGCCTGCTAGCTGCTGGAGGTGCCTGGGGTGGAGGAGGGTCGCATCCGGTTTCGCGCTGAAATGACACCTGATAGCAACAAGAGATAATATCCTTAAAAGGTTTAACAGCAACTATTTGATTGGTTTAGAGCCACAGTGCCACCTCTGTTGGTTGTATATACATGGGCGCAGCCAATCTCCGCTGATAATTCTGGGAGATCAGGCATATCTAAATTACGCGTGGCATAAAGGGAGTGTTTCTTCTAGAACTACCGCTTAAGTTCCATTTGATGACAAATGCATATACAGGAAGCCCAAATAAGTATATTTAATACGCTCCAGTAGGTACCAATTACATAAAGTGTTATCGTTCCTTATTGCTCAAATAATTATTGTTTAAATGTTGCCAAATATGTAAATAACACCATTTATAGGACTGCATTATGAACTACAGATGGACATTCAAATTATTGGTGTATTTACTTGATGTAACACATTCTTATTCAATAAAATACATAAAGATGTACTGCTGCTGTACCTCCAACACATGATTCATTATATTATGCCTGACCCTGAGGGTTAAGTTCAGGTCTCTGTCGTCCTATCTGCTGTCATAAGGTGGCACTACATGTCTGTGCAGGGAGCAATATAACTCCACCCAACAAGAAACAAGTTTCCTGGTGGGAGGGTTCTCATATTCAAACAGATTATAGTTACAGAAACACAGTACCAGTAACAAGGAGGACACAGCAAGATGATCACTATCTTCTGCTTAGCCCTCAATGTTATGACAATTTCAGGTAAAAGTCCTGTTGAGCGTTCTTTCACATTTAAGTTGACCATGATTGTAAATTGTTATTCGTGGATGCTGTTTCCGCAGGTGCCTCTCTCAGCGACCAGGTGCACCAGACTCCATCTGAGATGTTCACCAGACCTGAAGGAACAGCCCATATCTACTGCTCACACAGCATTAAGGACTACGATAAAATCCTCTGGTACAAACAATCCAGGGATGACGCGATGCTGTTCCTAGGTTACATGTTTGCAACTAATAAAAACCCAGAGGTTGGACTGGGTGTTAATATGACAGGGAGTGCAAATCAACATCAGACCTGCACATTGACAATGGAGAGAGTGGCCCTGAACAGCAGTGCTGTGTACTTCTGTGCTGCGTGGTCACACTGTGGAGCATATGGCTGCTCCTCGGTACAAGAAGCTCCTCATCACACATCGTTCCTCTCCCCATAGAACAGCTCTCAGCTCCTCACACCTGTGCTCCGTCCTCAGCAAATCTTTTTACAGATCTTTATACTGAACCAGGCACAGAGCTGTGTAGGGTTGGTTGACAATGACGCCGCCCCACCAATGACTTGGGAGGGTTCAAAGGAGGAGTTTGGGGGATTCTTTGTATAGCAGCTTCAGTCGTTGCAACAACATAGGAGGTTTCCAAATTAGATCGCTTTTTCTGAGGTATTACCAAACATCCAGAAGAAACACAAAATGCACATCATCTTCATTTGCATTACTTTTAGATATTTTATGGTCTCAGGTAATGTACTAATGAATTCAAGATTTCCTGTAAATTTGTTTCTATTTGCTTGTTTCCCTCCAGTCACATTTTCTATTGCTATTTCTGACGTTGTTTCCAATTATCTTTTATTTATTTCCCAACAGGCTCGTCTCTCAGTGACCAAGTTCACCAGACTCCAGCTGATATTTACAACAAACCCACAGAAGAAGCCACAATCAACTGTTCACACAGTATTCCCAACTACGATCAAATCCTCTGGTACAAACTATCCAGGGACAACAAACTGCAGTTTCTGGGATACGTGTTAAAAACCCTCAGAATCCCAGAAGCTGGACTAGGCGTAAAGATGGATGGGAGTGCAGATAAAGACCAAATGTGCCAATTGAGAATTGAGGGCCTGGTGCTGAACAGTAGCGCGGTGTACTTTTGTGCCGCTAGTCTACACAGTGCTGCACATCACTGCTCCTTAGAACAACAACATCTGTATCAAAGCTCACAGCCCCGTGCACCTGCGACCCTCTCATACAGCAACATTACATAGCCAGTTGTTGCTGTGGTTGACATAAGCATAATAATATTAGGAGGGATGAGAAAGCACTGTGATACCTGATGACTTCTGGTTTATTTTATGTGATGAATATGAATATGAATTTTTCAAGTCCTCTACATACTTTTAATAAATTTGCTTGTGTTCTGACATACTGCGGCCAGTCCAGCTTTGTTATATCTCCTATGTTTTCAACCGTTTCTTCTCAAGCTGTATTTTGTCCAATGTTTCTGCGACACCAGACTCCACTGGGTATGTACAACAAACCCCAAATCATTTATAAACCGTTAAAACGTGACCGTTCACACAGCATCGACACCCACAACCAAATCCTGGCTTAATGATCCTTTAATTCTATCTCTGTACATCAGACCCCTGGAATAAGCCGTTTTCTTCTGATCAACATTAGAGAACATGATGGGAGGCCCTTTCTGCAGAGCAATCTGTTTAACCTCCCACCTCCCACTATGAAAAGAGACTCAATCATTTTGCTGTCGCTGCTTCTCACGTCAACAACATCGTTACAATGACTCCAGTTCTCATCGCACTCGTAGTGTCGTCGCTGATGCTTCAAGGTAAAACACAAGTCGACATGTTTGAACAGTGTTTAATGGCGTCTAGTGTATTGACTCACATGGTCACACGGGCTGATGCAGAACTACAGTGTTTATGAGGAAGATTTCTCTTTCAATTATAGAAGACCTAAAAATGTGAATGTCTTTTCGATAGTTAAATTAAAATAATGCACCTCGTAAATGACAAAAAAATCAAACTTTTTGATTGAAACGGACATGTTGTATCTCCTTCACACAGGTCACTGCCAGGGTGTCACGCAACACCCTGAAATCAACTGGAGTCTTGCTTCCAAATCGGCAGAGATGAACTGCAGCCACAACAAAGATGCCAGTCACACCCAGATGTACTGGTACAGACAGCGTCCAGGAGAGACCATGACCCTGGTGGTCTACACAGTTTTTGGCGGACAGCCAGATTACGGGAAGCTCCCTCAGACCAAATATTCAGCCGTTAAAGAAAGTTCTGAGAGCGGCGCTCTTACTGTGAAGGACTTGCAGCTGGAGGACGCCGGCGTGTATTTTTGTGCTGTCAGCAAACACAGTGATGTGAGAGGGAAACGCAACTGAACAAAAACTGGTTGCCAGCACATTTGGGGGGCGTTGCAGGATTGTAAATATTTCATCATCAACAGGTGGAGCTGGAGGGGCAGAGATACACATTCAGCACTAAGATCGAATGTGTCTGCTAGACAGCGGAGGGCATCGAGGGCATACTTTGTTCCTGCTCTGTAGTTGTTTGGTCGACTTTAACACCCAGACAAACTCCTCCAGAACTTCTCAGAACCATCCGTCCCCAATTGTACACGTTTATTACAGCAATACAAGACATGATGAGTCTTTTAAAAAACACTTCAATACAACCAGAGAAACGAATGAAGAGCGAGTGAAGAACAGATCTCTGTTATTAGACGACCTAAAGGTCCCTGAGCACAATGCACTTTTTTACTATGCTGCGAGTTGCAGGCTGACTGCGAATCCCCTGTTTCTATGTCATCCAAAAGCTTTGAACTAACCTTGATCTGCATTCATGGCTTTGAGTCAGAGCCTGAAGAGACCCGAGCCAGCTGCTGTAGGTCTGATGCCATCGTCTCTGCCAGCGACGCTGTTTCATTCTCACTTCCTTTTGTGGAGGAGAGGAATCAGCTTGATCTCCCACGCTTGCAATACAGTTTATTTCATTAACTTAAACTTTACAAACTCTATGATTAATACTTTGGATTATTTAATGGCTTCGCAGGAACTGCTTTGATTTTGAGGAGGTTGAAATGATATATCTGTGTTGCGTGGAAGGTACAAAGTAGCTTAAATTCAATTGGCTTTTACAAAGGTGAAAAGGCTTCATATAAAATGCACAAGGTATAACTACGCTCTCTTTGTCCAGGTGTTTGTGTTGCTCTTGATGTCAATCAACCTTATTGGAGCCTTTATAAAGAGAATATCTCTGTAAATTGGGGAACAGCGGCAAAGGAGGACGCTTTCAGGTACTATTCAAACGAGAGCACAGTGAGGCAGAAACCCCCTCTGAACTTTACAGAAACTCTGCGCCATCTTTTCTTGTCGCCCTCATCGATAAGCCTCCAAATAAATTGCTTCCAGACACCTGCTATTGTGCTTGTGCTTTGGTTTGGTGCCATCATTACCCAGTCACAACTTGACTATCAAAGCATTTTATGTTCTTGACTTTGGAGTAACTCACACCTCATGTCTCTACATGATAATTACAATTCTCTTTTTCCTGCCCAGCTCGTCTTCACTTCCTGACCCCGAGACACCCTGAAGACAGCGGACAATATAATGACAGTTACGCCCTCATTTGAAAAAAACATGCACAATGATGCAACATTCAGCTGATGCTTTTATCCAAAGTGACTTACATTGCATTTTTAACCCATGGCTTTCTACATTTTTGCCCAGGGAGCAATTAGGGTTCCCTTTACTTTGCCCATTGAGAAGTAAAAGTTAAAAAGAAATATTCCTTGAAATATATTCCACCCTCAATATTTCAGAGAGCTTTGAGAAAAGCGTTTCTCGAAGCATTAAGAATTTTAACGTATTGGTGTGTATATTTTGAACAAAAATGAAAATAAACTGTTTTGATTAATGCCATTGATTAATCTCTTTTGTAGAAATACAGTCCCAATAATAGATTAACATGTGTGAAAACACACACTAACACAATGCTCGTGGCTCCTCCCTCCTCATTGCGAATGTACAATAAAGACTGATCTCACACTAATGCATCTTTCATATTGCCTTTGCATATTTCTGTGTCATTCACAACTCCATTGATACCATTTTGTTTCCTCAGAATATTTAAGATGATTGTTACTGTTTTTTTCTCTCTCTCTTTCTTCACAGGTAAGAGTTCTAAGACTTTTGTCTTTTCTCATGACCATAACAAAAAACCTTCTGTTCACCTTCCGTTGTTTTTCTCTCTGTACTCCAGACATTGTGATATCATCACTTTTAATCAAACAATCACCAGTGCATGTTTTGATTAAACCTGAACAAGTAAAAGCACATTTTGGCTGTTACCATGGCGACAACAACTACCCCTACATGCTTTGGTACCGGTCGGCAGCGGGAGGCCGGAGGGACATGGAGCTGATCGGACTTCTCAGCTATGGAAACGCAAACCTTGAGAAGAACTTTGAGGCCCGTTGCAACATGACGGGCCACTCAACGGGCCGGGCTGAGCTCGTCATCTCCAACGCGAAGCCAGCAGACAGCGCTGTGTACTTCTGTGCAGCGAGTCAGCACAGTGCTACAGACTCCTCTGGCTCGTTCACAAAAAGCCTGTGACCCACAGCGTCAAACGTGCAGCTGCATCGACACTAAACCACTAAACGGCACAGTTGGCTCATCTCAGAGGACGAATCATAAAAGCATTGTGTGCAGACAATTAATAACGTACGAATCAAACAGAAGATGGGCTGAACTGAAATAAAGATCCCATACACAGCTGCTCCATTACGCCAATGAGCCTCTTGCAGTTCTGCCCAGCCCTCGTGTACGTCTAGCCTATCTGAAAAGACTATGATGTCATTTCCTCCCCACAGATCTCAAGTGTTTGGATCGTTGTCTTTTCATTAATTTCCCCTTCAAACCTCAAAATGATCCCCGGCTTCAACACCTTTACTTTCTTCATGCTTTGGACTGCAGGTAAAGTTAATATCAGACTCAATGTGCCTTACGCTCACCAACTTTGCCATGCAAAGTGTAGATCTGAGGCAAACGTTCATAAAATAGATACAACAATTATTGAAGTGACTTTGCAGATAAGTGGATCGTGCTCATTTTGTATGTGTTCCAGGCGTCTCTCAGTCCGTGCTGATCACCCAGTGGCCCCGCTACATCTCCAGTCCTCCCAACGGCTCTGCAGAAATGACCTGCTACCAGAATGACACCAACTATGACTATCTGTACTGGTACCAACAGCTGAGTGGAAGGAGCTTTCAGTTAATAGTGTCTACAGTAGGTGGCTTTTCAAGCTTTGAAGTCGGATTCAAGTCTGGTTTTCAGTCGGTGAAGTTCAGTGAGAAGCAATGGTCTCTGACAGTAACCGGCCTTCAGGGGAATCACGCGGCTGTCTATCTGTGTGCTGCCAGTCTACACAGTGCTGTGGCAGACCTCAGGCCTGTGACAAAAACATAAAGCACAGGGGCTGTTTACTCCTTTCACACCTAAATCACATAAAAACTGAAAAATATGAAGGAAGTCAACCACACTGAGGAGATCATATCAGGGACTCTAACCACAGAAGTTACGTTATTATATCAAACGGAGAAGGGAGAAAGAATATTAGGAAATACATAAGGTAAAACATAGTTTTTAAATGTATTATTAATAGATTAAATATTAATAGATTCCACCGATAGGTGGAGGTGTAGCACCAGGCAGGAAGCTGTTCTCAAACTAACACCCCCAGTGCCTTCCCTCAATACTCTGAACCTCAGCTTTTCATTCCACTTTCCTTACATCAGCGTCTGACCATGTCCTCACCTGTGCACACACTGGGATTTCTCTTCATCTTCTTTTCCTGTAAGTTCAACAGTTTTATCAAGAATTTGACCTTGAGTACTTGTTTATAATGCTAAAACCTCAGCTGGCTAGTATGAATACTGCACGATCTACCTTGTCTGTTGCCTCAAACACAGCTCCATCTAAAACTCCCTTTTCTCCACAGGCCAGGTGAGCGCTGCCACATTCCAACAATCTCCCCCCCAGATAGTGGAGGAGAGCACTGAGGTCCACATAAATTGCAGCCACGACGACTCTAACCTGGTTGTAATGCTGTGGTATCAGCAGAGACGGGACAATGGGTCCTTGGCCCTCATAGGCTACGGGTGGGTAGGCAGCCCAAACTATGAGGGTCAGTTTAAAGAACAGTTTGAGCTGACGAGAGCAGACACAATGAGAGGAGCTCTGGTTGTGCGCACAGCGGCCCCGTCACACTCGGCTGTTTATTTCTGCGCTGCCAGTACACAGTGATGTGGTTTGATGCCACTCCCTCACCAAAAACCCTTCGCGTATAAGGCAGAGTGTTACTGAAGCACGTGTCTCTGGGGTAGAGCAAAGCCTCGATGATGTCTCTGCCTGTCATCGGACTTCTTCTCATCCTAATTCCATGTAATCTGCAAAAGTAACAATTGGATTGTGTAAAAAATGACAATTGTATTTACGCTGTTTTTCACTTTGGCTTTTTTTCCCCACAGATTATGTGAAGAGTGTGAGGTTTGAGCCACAGTCTCCCAGAATAGTCAACGACAAAGCCAGGGTGGAAATAAAATGCAGTCACAATGACAGCAGTTTTTATGTAATGCTCTGGTACCAGCAAACCCAGAGAGGTCTGGTTCATTTCATCGGATACAGCTACGCTGGCAGTGCGCCCGTGTATGAGAAGCAGTTTGAAGTTGGCTTCGAGATAACGAGGGAAGGCACCCAAACGGGGGCTCTGGTTGTTGCCAGGGCGAATCAATCCGACTCGGCTGTGTATTTCTGCGCTGCCAGTACACAGTGATGTGGTTTAATGGCAGCAGCTCACTAAAAAGCCTGCTCAGGTTTCTTCTCTCATGCTACACGTTCAATGACCCTGAGACTGAAAGTTGACTCAGTAACTCTCAGCATATTCAAAGAGAGAACATTTGCATTGAACTTATTAACTAAGAAAACTAAAAGATATATGTATGTTCAGAAGAATAAACCATGCTGCAAAAAGGCCTTTACACGTCATTTGTACTATGCCTGCATTGTACGGCGACCAATGCACAGAAGGGTTTATGTGCTAACATTATGTACAGCCAACTGCTTGGCTGTTATTTACATATCGTAAAATGTGTGTTACATTATAACATTAATCCATATGATTTATAGAGCAATCCGATTTTCTCTGCGCCGCCTCAGCGGAATTCATTCTGATATGAAATGCCCAATTAAATTGAACACAAACTAATGTTTTGTCCCCTTTCAGAACAATGTGGCAGAAATCCAATCAACCGCCTCTCTTTATAATCAGTGATGGCGAATAGCAGTCACGTGACCGCGTGGCCTCGTGGTGTATTTGAGCTGAACACAGTGATGTGTGACTCCCTCACAGCGAGGAGGCTCGCCGCTGACATGTTTACCACAGTCGTTTATGTGTTGCTTCTTTTACACTCAGGTGGGTTTTGTGTGTAAACTCGTAATGGACGTTGCTCACTAACAGGCGCGTGAGTGGTGCGGTTCTGTCCTTTGAGGCGAGGCCAAATAAAACATCATCCTTCGTGTGCTGCAGGTCTTGCGGTTGTAGTCCTTCAGTCTGGAGATCAAACGTCCCACCCGGGTCACGCGGTGAGCTTCGTGTGCAACATGGGTCAAGGGGTCAGCATGGGCAGCTACACCATGCTCTGGTACCGACAAACCCACCGTGGAGCTCCGCTGGACTTCCTCTCCAAGGAATACGACCAGACCACGGGGCACTTCCAGTCGTCCATCGACACATCCAGAAACAACTTCTCTCTTCAAATTACTGAGGTGCTCCTGAATGACAGCAGTACCTACTACTGTGCTGCCAGTCACAGTGATGCACAGGGACCAGATGTTCATACTAATATCAAGTCTACACGGGGGCCACAGATGGCTCACAGGCAGGAAGGAGGTGTTGGTTCTGTGGTTTTCTATGAAATTGGGGGAACAAGAAAGAATAAATGACACTGATCCAGTATGGTGAGACGCACCAGCGGTAATTCATATATATATATATATATTTATACACACACACGGTGTCAAATATCACAACAATTATATTGTTTGCAATAAATAGATCTTAAAGTCTTGTTATGCATATGAGGTTTGCATACTAAAGGAAAATCAGTTGCTTCTTGAATTGGGAAATGAAAAGAGAATTATATCCGACATTCTTTAATTAGAACATTTAACTAAACACAAAAAGGAAATAAAAATGAAACATGCAGTTTATTGGGCAAATGAACATAAAAATGGCATATTGTGAAACCCTAATATGTACTTGGGAGTAGGATGAATGTATATACATACATACATACATACATATATATATATGTATGTATGTATGTATATGTGTGTATATATGTATGTATATACGTGCCTCACTGACTCCCCGAGATCTCATTTAGAAACAATGGCATCAGTTTGATTATCTTATATTCACATTATATACTGTGTGATCATTAAAGTGTAGAAAAAGGCTGAAGATGGCAGTAATGACGCAAGCAGAACATGTCCCCTTTAGCCAGCTAATTTGCTGTTATTTGCTGTGATCTCTCCCGTAGAGACACCCAAGAGCTGCCGTGACAGGAGGCCAAGGTCGATACCTTCTTAGTTCAGAACAAACAAGCAGGACTGGAGGACTCGGTTAAGACGTTTTGGTTGCAGCAGTAGAGCGAACTTCACCTGGAACTGCTCAGAAGACAACAGTCAGATTTGATTGACTCTGAACCGCTCTACAATAACTGCGACAATGTCTTCTGGGTTATTTTTTGTTTGTGTGTCTTTTTTCTTGTTTTCCCAGATTTCTCCCTCTGTGCAAAGATTCAGCTCAAAGCTTTTCAGCTTAGATAAATAAACAAGTGTTCACATTTCAAAAGCTTATATTATTATTATTTCCCTACAGAGTCTCATATGTGGCACTCTGTGCTCAGGTCTACACTCCAAAGATATAATAATAATAATTCAAATCTGCGTGCAGTTTATTCCTTTTAAGATGTTATTGCGCACTGACCTCTACAGGGTCCGTGTGGGACTGCCCCGAGGAGGTGGTTCACTGTGAGGTCAATACGTTATGTTGTTTTTTTTAGTGTGTTTACTTTCATTAAATAGAAATAAATATACATCAACTATTATTGATATTTTTATAGCTTACAATTGACTATTAATTAAAAGTTAGGTATCCGAAAGTCATGAGAGTTACAACACAATGGACAGACCCAAGCTATATGTCAGTGTAGCAGGACAGTGCTATGGCATTTAAGCTACGTTTTGTTACAACGATTGTCTTTAGATCAAGTAATATATTCATTTAATATTTTTTACGAAGCTGATGGTGGAGCTGATTAGTGAAAGTTTAGTTTAAAAGTGCAGTGTGAAGGACTCAGGGAGACCTGTTGGCTGAATGGAATATAGTAATCGTATGGTTTTTCTGGGGTAATAGTACCTGAAACTAAGAAGTATTTTTTTTTGCTTGACCTTGAGCACTTTATTTTTTAAGACGAGCAGGTAGTATTCAGGGCTCCACCATGTTTCTATAAAAGCTCAGAGAGGACACACTAAACTTGGAGCCTTCATGTTTTTACATTACCAGAAGATCTCTATTATCTATTCCTTCCTCTCAGTTTTGCAGTCATTAGTTGATATAATTACATGAATGTTGTACCAATTATGATCACTAGATGTTAACTAGATGTTATTTGCTGTTAAACATGCATTGAGAGATTTCTCCACCACCTGGGGGCAGCAGAAACACTTTTAACACGTCAGAAAGTCAAAGGGCATCAGCATTTATTTAATCTTTTAGCACTATTTTGATCCCCACAAAAGAGAAATATCTGATTATTTTAACTGCAGTACATTCCTCAGCTATTCACAAACATTACGTGCCTATCGGGGCTTCTGTTTGTGAAGGTAACCATTTTCTGTGGCTCCCTCACGACAAAATGACACACGCCACAATGAATGTTGCACAGTAAATGTGCGTCTGGTTTCTGGGTGGATCAAGAGGTGTGACCAGCAGAGATGTCCCTCCCTCTGACAGAACATCCTCTCACAAACAAACACCCGTTTCCCTTTTGCCATCCCGCCTTGCTCACTTCTTTTCTTAGACGTCCCAGAAATAGCAGCAGTCGGGTTGGAGGCCGCTGTCGCTCAGCCCCGACCCGAACAGCTGCTCTGTGACACAGAGAGAGATGGAGGCCGAGATACGGAGGAGCTGGGTGGGGGAAGGAGAGAGGGGGCAACCAAAGAGACTTCAGGTTTTTGTGTGACGCTTTTCCACGGTGGGGACAGGGGGCACGGTGATACAATCCCATAGAGCCGCTGTACAAAATCCTCCTGCCTTTGAGACGCGTTGTGTAGACTGCTGCATGCTGCCCGGGACACTTGGAAGAACGTACAAATCGATAATCTGGTGTGTAAACCTTCAGGACAGACTGGAACATTAAATGGTGAAATGGGCAGAGAATTAGATTTGAAAAAACACGTTTCAAATCATTTTTGGATAGCTTTGATGCTTTTCTTAATTATCCTGACCAACGCAGCACGCTTGGACATTATGGAGCTCATCCTTCATGTTGAAACCTTTTCATCTTTTGGATCATTACGCCGTCCTTCAACATGAGGGTTATGGAAGGTTTTGAGACTTTTTGGTGGAGGAGACTTTCAGTGTGACACTGCATCTGAGGCTTACTTTGGAAAGGGGACAAAACTGACTGTTTTGGGTAAGTAACATCTCTCCCTGCTGCGGTTAACCGGTACAAACCTACAATAGTTGAACTGTTGGTTTGAAAGTAAAGGGAAAATAACTGTTGTCAAATCTGAAATATTGAGCTGTGGTGCAAACACTGTGAGCTACAGCGAACCTGCTTACTTTGGCCAAGGAACCAAACTGACTGTTTTGGGTAAATATTTCCGTTCATCATTAAGTTTTGTTAAAGGTCATATTGCTGTAGAGGCTTACTGCAAACAGACGTATTGATAGGAACCTTCCAAAGATGGCCCTGATAGAGAAGCACCCGACAGAGTTTCATGCTCGGTATTTCTGCACCGTGACAACAACGAGGCTTATTTTGGAAATGGAACCAAACTGACTGTTTTGGGTAAGTCATAGAGGGCCCAGATTTTTAGTTGTGATGGTGCAGCGAGACACCCAATGTCCTTTACAGTTTAAGCTCAGCTCAGTGCTTTTGATGCCAAGCTCAAACGCTGTGTCAGTACGAAGCCTATTTCGGCCAGGGAACGAAACTGACTGTTCTCGGTGAGTAGAAGGTCAACATTTCTTGTCATGAATCCACCTGTGAGAGAAGGAAACCGTACAGAATCCTTGTAGTTTGGGCGATGAGAGGAACTGATGTATCAAAGCTTTACCCATATACGACAGAGATGCAGAGTAAAAGCGTTTAGAGCACTGATCAGGTTCACCGTGACTATGGGGCTTCAGAGGCTTACTTTGGTGGAGGAACAAAGTTAACGGTTTTAGGTAAGAAATCATTCAACGGTCATTTGAATGCTGCTCACGTAAAACATCGTTTAGAGGTCTGGCCCATTAAATTCACCCCAAAACATGATTGACTGCTAACAACCAGTGATTCAAAGTGACAATAGGGTATAAATAGTCCTTAAGTCTGAGTCAGAAATGCACGGGGTTGTTTAAATGACTCCAAGCTAGACTTAAATCTTGAAGTAGTCAAAGAGTGACAAAGTGTGAATAGTGGCACAAACAGAGAGGCAGCAGGACGACTTTTTGTGTCGGTGGAAAGTCTATGTGTTCCTACGCCGAAGCAATCTTTGGAGCTGGAACTAAACTCACGGTTTTAGGTAAGAAAAACGTCTCAGAGAAGACCATTCACAGCTCGTTTGCGTGTTCAGATTATAGCCGATACTTGGACTTTATTAGATACACTTTGCAGTTGGCCATTCTGAGAAAACAAAGTGTAAACATTTTGAACGTGTAAAAGAAGTTATAGTAGACGTTAGTTTGTGCCAATAAAAACAAGCGCTGTCTCTGGTCTCCAGTAAAAGTACAGAAGCAATAAAACATTTGGCTCTACGCCCAGATTGTTGCTCTGAAGCCGCTTCTTATCATCTCCGTGTGGCACTGTGAGTATACTGAGGCTTACTTTGGAGCTGGAACTAAACTCACTGTTTTAGGTAAGAATCACTCAACTGAACATTATTATATATTTATGAACTATTAGAATGTTCCATGGGTTAAAACAGTAAACTAGTTGGTAACTTTCAGGTTAGAGGGGAGAGGGTTTATTTTCAACGACGCAAGGTGATTTCTGTTGGGCAGCAGAGTCGTTTGGTCCGGGTGTGTGTTGCCTCACGTTAACGTGCGCTCAAAAAAGTTTTTACTTTGTGAAAGCGAGCGCACACACACAGTCTCCAGAGCCAGCGCAGGCTTTCTTGCATAGCCTCGGATCAGCGTGAATAACTACGAACCTGCGTACTTTGGCAGCGGCACCAGACTGACGGTGTTGGGTAAGAGTGATAAAAGTGTTTCACTTAAACCTGAGCATTATTCAGTTTGGCTTAAATGTCTCCTTTAGATTTTCGCTCCACTGGCATCAAAATGATAAAAAAAATAATAAATGTTAGATCTTTATGCCTTTAGTCTTACGTACGTTCAATCTGTAGAAATTGGCCATCAGTGGATGTCGTTATTATCATTTTATAAAATTCTATTAAACTTCCCAAGTCGGATTCATGCAATATAATGATGTAGATCACAGCTAATAGAACGCTATAGAAACAGTCATTTCAATCAAACACTTCTTGGTAAGACCACAACCCTTTTTCGGAGTAACTTAGTTGTGAATGTCTCCGTGTGCGCTCTGTAAACCTGTGATGATCACATTGTATTTGGTGAAACTGTTCCCGTCCACATTCTTTGGTTGGTTTGCTGTGGATCCAAAGGCAGCTTTGCCTCATGGTGTGTTTGTTTGTCTTTGCAGAACCTGGACTTAATGTCACCAAACCGAAGGTCAAAGTGCTTCGACCTTCAGCAAGAGAGTGCGGAAACCCCAAAGACAAGGCGAGGAAGACCATCGTTTGTGTGGCCAGCGGATTCTATCCGGACCACGTCGGTATATTGTGGAACATCGACGGCCAGAATGTCACCGACCGCCGCGTGGCGACCGACAACGCTGCCCTGCGGGTAGACCAGTATTACAGAATCACCAGCAGGCTGAGCGTCCCTGCCGAAGAGTGGTTCACCAAGGGCAAAAACTTCACCTGCATCGTCAGCTTCTTCAACGGGAAAAACACAGAATTATACAAAAGTTCAACTATCGGGGAAAAAGGTAACTCAGAAACCACCGCAACATTTTGTCTTCAAAACTGCGTCGGTCTCATGCTTTTCTTCTTCTATCAGATAAAAGAAGCTCCATGACAAGAGGTACGAACTATTTTGTGTTTCTGAGCAGCTTAATTCATCATCACTACTATTTACTATTGGCTCGTGTCACTAACAGTTTGAACTCTCTGCAGAAAAGTATTTGATGGTCACACAAACGGCCAGATTCTCCTACATCATCTTCATCTTCAAGAGCAGCATCTACGGAGCCTTTGTGGCCTTTTTGGTGTGGAGGCTTCAGGTTTGTGATCTCCTTGTCCTCTCCTGTCCCTTGACCTTCCATCCAAACTGCATGTTTCTTCTCTCTTTATATTTCACATAAACTAGGCCAGTTTTAACCTGTGAATTGACGTTAAAAAGAACGTGTGACGTTGTGACATTGTGTCTTTTCTGTCTGTTGCAGCGATCAGCTGGCAAGCAGAACGACTGAGAGAACCACAAGATGTGTAATCGGAGACAATCAGTGGTGGAGTTTTATATTCACAAGTTAAGCTGTAAGTTGTGGTGCATTGTTGCAATCGCAGACAAAAAAAAGCTAAAATAGAACAGTTATTTGCATATTGTTGTTAAAATGGCCATCACGTCATGATAATGCTAAGAATGATCCTGTGTGTGTGGGCCTGCAGTGCTTGATTCTTTTCTCAATAAAAGTATTGAAATGTAACTGTTTTGTTGGTCTCTTTGTTTGTTTGTGAGTTCATGTCTAAAAGGGTTGACTTCATCTTCACATCAGACGCTGCTCATACTTATCAAAGATTTAAAGGTTATGCTTCACTGAAAATATGCTTTATCTACTGACATTTTTATTTGCAACTTTTACCTGAGAAAGCAACCATTTTTTTTAATCAACATACATCTTGTTAAAACATCTCAGCTTGTCAAGTATTTCCGATGAGACGTTTACTCTGATAACCCTAAGCCATCAACTCATCTGCTTTTTAACGTTTTATAGAAATATTTATCTCGATCAAAGTGGATTTATTTAATTCAAACATTGGGTGAGAATAAGAGGCTGACGGTTTACATTCTCCTCCTGATTAAAGAAGTCGTTCCTTTAGTTGCTACACGTTCAGCAGGAAAGTTGATGCGAGTGTGCGAGTCAACCACACGACGACAGGAAGTCAACGTCCCCGCCCGAGAAGAGAAGAAGGTCAAAGCTGTTGTTGGTTGAGGGAGACAAAGCGGAGCTGCAGGACCTGCAGAGGAGCAGAGAGCGACAGAGAAGGGAGGATGTGGTCACGGCGCAGCCTGCAGAGAGCCCTCTGTGCTGAGAAACGACGAAGGTGCAAACCTCCACCTCACCGCAACCTCCGGCTCTCACAGCGCAGCTGCATCTGGGCACCAACCCCCCCCCCCCTGCAAAGGAAGACTGGAAAAACAGCTTGAGACTTTCCATTTATGTGTCAACTGAATGAACATAACTGTGTTATATCTGTTACAACAGATGTTTACTCTCATCTGGTGCAGAAACATGCATTTGATTTTGTTACCTAACCCGGTAAAAGAGATTTACACTATCAGGTAGACAGTTTAAGGAGTCTGTATCAATGTTACTGTAACTGTTTCATTAAAATAAACCTCTATTTAAATGTATACTATAGATATTTAAAACATAATACTGATGAAATACTTCTGTACCGCAATATAGCAATAAAACAGCAGTAGATGTACTCTGTTAAGTCCTGCAAATATTACACAATTTAAACCCACATACTTAAAGTACCAAAAATAAAACTACATACATACTTCAGAACAGGAAAAACAGATGTATTAGTGTGTTCATGTCTTTATTGTTTCAGATGGTAGGTGGAGACAAAAAGCTTTTGCCACCTTCCTGGTTTCTAATTTTTTGTCTGTTACACTTATATGTTTCAGATCATCAAACAAATTTCAATATTAGACAAAGATTACCCGAGTGAATAGATAATGCAGTTTTTTAAATGGAATGAAGATTTAATTTATTAAGGGAAAGAAGTTATGAAATTCTACCTGGCCCTATGTGAAAAATGAATTCCCCCCCATAATTAATAAATCCCAAATTAACTGTTATTAGCCACATTTTTTGGAGAGCTTTGTTAAAATGCACAACCTTCTCCGAGGATGGATTTTTACTCTTAAAAATAAATAATAAATAAGAATGTATTTTGTATTTATTTGGGTAATCTTTATCTAATATTAAAATATTTGTAATATTAAAGAGTATGCAAACAAATGAGAAACCAAGAAGGGGTCAAATACCTTTTTAAAGTGCTGTACCTCTAGCATTTAAAGCCTCCATTCATCTGATTTTAATATGTAAAAACTATTCAAATTTTGAAAAGTTAATTTGAAAAAGGAAAAAAGAATTGGTAGATTTTCTCTTTAGGGCCCGAAAAAACCATTACTATTAATTTAAGATAGCTTATAAAAACAAAACAATAGCAGTTTAATTTAAATCCCCTTGAGCAAAAAAAAAAGATATAGAAAGAGCAAATAGTGGTATTTTAAATTATTATCTGATTCTGTAGAATAAATGTGCAGTAAATAGTGAAAAAGAAAAAAAAGTTGCAGACAATGTAAAATACAGGTTGTTCCAAACTCAAGATTACTTGCATTGAGTGAACGTATTTTCCATCATTTTTCATCAAACTGTAAATGTTTTTTTGATCAGTTAAGACCAAAGCCGAGCAATAGCAAAAGCCTGGCAACAGAGGCACCTTCAACGGGGACAAAGATTCAGCTGTAGCTTGATAATATTTTGTCATATTAAGGTTACGTTAGAATATCTCCTATCCTGTGCAAGAAAAGAAAAGATTCCTTACAACTTGTTTACCTCTGCCTTAAAATTGCTATATTATTTCAAACCGATTTTAATTTAAAATGGACAGAAACTGTGTTGTGAATGAAATATAGAATGTTATGAAGGTGAATGAGATGAAGGAAGAAGAACTTATATAACTATGTGTTAGTGTGTCTGTGTGTACAACTTTATGTTAGTGCGTCTGTGTGTACAACTTTATGTTAGTGCGTCTGTGTGTACAACTACATGTTAGCGCGTCTGTGTGTACAACTATGTGTTATAGTGCCTCTGTGTGTATCTATTTGTTAGTGCGTTTGTAATTACAATTACATGTTAGTGTGTAGGTGATTCCAACTTTACATTAGTGTGTCTGTGTGTACAACAATGTGTTAATGCGTCTGTGTGTACAACAGTGTGTTAATGCGTCTGTGTGTACAACAGTGTGTTAGTGTGTCTGTGTGTACAACTACATGTTAGTGTGTCTGTGATTATAACCTTATGCTAGTGCATCTGTGTGTACAACAGTGTGTTAATGCGTCTGTGTGTACAACAGTGTGTTAATGCGTCTGTGTGTGTACCCTTATATGTCAGTGTGTCTTTGTGTACACCTATATGTTAGTGTGTCTGTGTGTATCTAAATGTTTGTGTTTCTGTGGGATTATCTGCTGATCCAGAGGTCGTTGTGTCGACTCTCAAACATCCTGATGAGGTTCTGCTCATACGTGGAGAAGGAAAGTGTGTAATTAAAGCAGCAGATTTGTGTAGGCGCATGTTGAATTTTGACGACATATTAATTAAATGAAAGTATTAGTTAAAGGTGTGGACGCACTTTCTTATGTATTTAAATGAAATGACAGCTTTTCTCAAGGTAAAAACTCTACAGCCTTTTGCACCGAATAAGTCCAATAAATTATTAAGGCCAGTAAATGCCAGCGTCTGCCTGCATTCCTCACTGACCTTCAGCTTTTCTAGTGTCGCAGAAGTCGTAAGTGTGTGTCATTCCAAGGCTTAAAGGGTTGACTGAATTTGCCCGTGTGTGTTGTTATGCTGTGGAGAATGGAACATAAAGCATAGTGAAATGTTCTCCAAAGTCAGAGTGAAGTGTTTAAAATGAGCGTCTAAAGAGTAAATGTGTGTCATGGACGGTGTATTTGTATGGATGGAGCTTCCACTAAATACATTCACACAGTGCATAAAATACTATGTTATACTACACCTTAAAAACTAAACAAGAAACAACTTTTGTCTTTTGGGATGTTTGTCTGTGGTCAGACCACCGTTTGTTCCAGTCTGAAATATCTAAAAAACTGTTGAATCCTGTTTTTTTTAAATCCCCTGACCTTTTCCCAATTGCCACCAGAGGTTTTCAATCAAATGTCTCCACTATTGTTGGGTGCATTGCCATTCAATTTGGTATTTGATATCCAAAGTACTCATATTATCGCTCCAAATCAGGCAGTCCAATAAAAAATAAAATGTCCCCCACATAACCAATGTAACACTGAAAATCTTTACTTTCATATTTTGTACTCTGCAAGGGATAAACAAACTATACCCAATGTGTGAATTAGAGAGACGTAGAAGGTTGATTTTTTTTAAACAGATGCTGACTATCCGTTTTCTCTCAATTTAAGCTAACCAGCTAACGTCACGTCATTTAGCTGCTGACCCTTTACCGCTAGTCATAATAATACATACAAAGATGTCTATAAAGCATTATAAATGTACTCATGATACCTTATAATAGTATATAGGACTAATATATGATCATACTATAAATAACCATTGTCATTGTGTGCTTGAAAGGGAAATATTAAATAATAATAATTGTAATGTAGTTGTAACAGCTGGTGGAATGGAATGTGAACGCTGAGTCGGAGAAGCGATGTCATCTTTGATTTCTTCCTATAGTGGGTGGCTGCTTAATCTGTAACAGGTAATTATTTCATGTGCACTCAACTGAAAACGTGTGGCAAAGACCCTTTCAGCTGGTCTCCTGTGAAAAGGTCAACAAACCGATGGAACGTTTCACAACATGCAAGCAGTTCCTCTTCATGAAAGAGAGAAGAGTGGGCTCCAACAGTGAACACGGGGGAGTCAGACAAACCCCCAGACTGTCTTTGTGTGTGCTGGCTGCTTTCTTTCCAGCTGGCTGTGTGTGTGTTCAACCTCCTGCAGTGTGTTTGTTTATGTTGTGCAGATAAAAGCGTTATCTGCCGTTTACAGGCCTGGTTTATGCCAATCATTCTACTAAGTGTCCTAACAGTGTGTTAGGCAAGTATTTGAAACACTTAATTAATGGTGCTTTTTGACTGTCAAACCTGTGCGTATTTGTTTCTTTTCAGTATTCAAAACGAATCTGCTTGTATGAAAGGAGCCTATGAGCTTTTTTTTGCGAAGCAAATGAAATCAATCTGCACAGTATCCGTTCCTCCCACAAGGGGATTTATTTCCTCTTGCTCTAAGACAACGTAAGCTTAGAAGATACTAAAACATTACAAAGGTTCAATTTACTTTTTCTTTCCTTATCTTTGAACCACATTTTGTTCTTCAGTGTCCATTTCCCCTTTTATTCTGGATTTTCTCTCAAAAATGATTTTTATTTATTTAGCTAGCTCAAAAGCAAGCTTGCTCTCCTCGCATCTAATTTACAAACAACCTCATCAGCGTCTTCGTTTGAATGCACAGAAATAATCGAGCTGTGAAGCGAAGCCAAGTGGGCCGTTTAAACGCAGTGTGCGACATTACACTACACATGAAGATACAGTTGATGAACTCCATATATTCACTTCAACAAGCCTGTAGAGTCCATGCTGCACAGTAGAGGGCAGCGTGTATGTGTAGACGCTGTGTGCGTTTTGTGTGTAGTTGCAGAAGCAGCTAAA